TCCTGTTTCCTATACATACAGGTAGACTTTGTATGTGTGCATATACACAAATATTTTGGCCAAATCAGACCATATTGCAAGTTTTGCTTTCAATATTGCACCCAGAGCTCCTGGAAGGGAAGCTGCAGTACAGGGTTCTTACTGGCATCTGGTTCCGTGAGCTTATGGACCAGGACTGAGTGGAGGAAGATGGTCAGGACCCCACCACAAACACTTCTTGCTCTCATGGAATCTCCAGGACTGGATACTCTGACATGTGGGCTCCAGCATGCAGAAGAGCTTGGTTTTCACATTACATGGGAATGAAGCTGGGTTGGTGGCAGAGCTCATGTTTGGGTGTGGAGTCAGGCTATTTCCCTTCAGGGGCTAAGAAAGGTTTTTATAAGTTCATGTTGATTCAGCACATGCAAATGACACTTGTTTTCAGCTCGGCATGCTCACAAACATGGAGGCACGGTGCCTTGCTGACTAGCAGAAGTCCCAGCCGCCACTCCTCTTGTGAGTGGACATCTCAGCAAACAGACCACTTGGCTGGGCTGCTCCTATTTTAGGGACAGAAAACATAGAGAGTCCCTGAAAATCTGAGCTGATTCGTGTGCTGCAAGGCTCTGCACATGTGCAGGCAGGTGCTGCTCCTTGTCCTCAGAGCAACGTTGACACATGTCTTCTCACATAAGTACATGTTCTCCTCTGAGAGAACTCTTTTGGCTAGAACACAAGCTCATTTGCCAATGAGGAAAAGACCACACTGGCCTTCCCGCACAGATCTTAATGTATAACCCCAGATACGGGATCTTTCACACTTACTCATACCTATTGACCTAATCCTGAAATTTAATATAATCTCACATGCTGGGGATGGTTACAGAGGTGGGATGGGGAGATATTTTGTAGTTCATCTAGAACCTCATTGTTATTTATAGAAAAATGTTCATTTTATCTACAAGTCATTGGTTCTCAGTGGGATGACTATGCCTTCCAGGGAACATTTGTTAATGTCTGGAGATAGTTAACAAGAATTATCTGGCCCTAACTGTCAAATGTGCTGAGGTTGAGAAACACTGGCATAGATTGTGGTAAGACTGAATGGGTAGAGGAGTTTAACATGTCTTTAATTTTCTATACTTTATGATATTCTGACATCTTGAAACTCTTGCTGGCTACATAAACTCTGCCCATCCAGGACTTGCCCTCTCGTAGAGAGAGCAAAAAGCTCGGCTGCTAAGCATCTAGATCAATCCTGCTCCTATGACCCCAACTACTTGCTTATCTAATTGTCCCAGGTGAAGCCATATTGCCTCTGTCCCAAATCATCCCATGGCAAGGGACCAGGCAGCTAGGGACCACATCTATAGACTAAATAAATCCACTGGAATTATTCAGCTAACAGTCCTAACCTGATTACCTGCCCTACCTCGCCTTTCCCATGGAGACCCCAGGAAAGACTCTGGCTCAGACTTTCCCTTGGGTTCTGTCTTCTGCCACCTGGTGAGAAGCTGGTGTTTCTGCTGTGGCTCTGCATGGCCCGTGGTGGCCCCTCCCTGAGCCCTCATTCTTCCTTCTTCTTGGCTGCAGTGACTTTACCACACCACAGACAGCATTCACATTCTCAGAACAATGTGTAATGAAAATCATACAGTCTCCCCATCTTCACATCTGGCCTATTTCTGGGGAGCCCTACTTTCAAAAGTAATAGAGAAATCCCCACATACTTCCTCAGGGCACTCCTTCCCTGACGATCTTCCTCCAGCTCCCAGTAGTAAGTCTGTTTGCTAATTTCTTTTTCCCAGAAGCTTTTGAGCTCGTGACAAGTTTCACAGCAAAAGACTTCTTGTCGGATGTATTGGTTGTTCATCCCCTAAAATTAAACAAAAAGAAAATAACAAATCTCAGCCCCTCAAATAAAGCCATTCTAATGAGGAGTCATGAAAGATGGGTTTGAATCCAGACATTGCCTTGCATACTTTTAGTGACTCTGAACAAATCACCCAGCCACTATGAGCCTGTTTCCATAACTGTAACTGTGGACAATAATCGGAAAATATTGCAAAAAGATTTGAAATGAGCAAAAATTAAAAAGGTGTTGAGTAACTGTTCCGGATTATCTGGTTATAGATAGGCCGGGCACTTTCATTGTCCTTGAGCTAGTTCACAACTCTGTAAATTATAGAAAAAATGTGGTAGCACAAGTCATTCTTAAACATAAAAATGCAAATAAATTTTGTCCAGTGGGATGTAATTGATATCCCTAAGGATATCACCCAATTTTTCATAAACTTGTAAATTCATCTCAGTATTCTTTATTGCCTACATGTTGCTGTTTTTTTAAATTCTCCTTTGAATACGTTGCAATATCTTACGAGTTACCTCATTAATTAATTATTAAGCTTGGTACAATACTTGAAATGTTTATTTTACATTTTAAGAGAGTCATGATTTTAACTTTGTTAAAAAAAATTATACTTTAACAGTTGCTTTACTGCTGCATGTGAAATGGATAATGTATGCAAATAGTAAATAGGCACTCGACAAATGTTATGCTCTTTCCATTCTCCCTCACAGAATAACAATAACCTCTATGGTTTATTGAGCACATAGTGTGAGGTGGGCATTTTACACACGCGGGTGCATTTGATCTCACTACAACTCAGAGATGGGTGATGTCACACTCATTGGTCTGATGAGAAAACTGAGAGAATTTGCCTGTCGTCTCATTACTGAACATGAAGGAATGGGGATTTGAACCTAGGTTTGTCTATCTTCAAAGTAGATGCTCTTCTCCGACAATCCTCGTCATGAGACATGGCCACTGGGAGCTGAGAAGGAGGGCAGATGAGTGTAGCCATTACTGTGACTTCGGTCAAAACCCTTTCTGTGCTCTGAGTCCAAGTTTCCTTTTCCATGAAGTGGAGATTAAATATGATCATACAGAGGACACTGCCCAACACACTGCCATTCGCTCCCCAACGTTCATCTACCCACACAGCAGATGCTTGATCTTGGGAGCTGACAGTCTGAGTCCTGTCCCTCCCACGGAATCACCACAGACGTTCTCATTGTCTGTAGTTTATGTATGATATTAAATGCTTTGCTGCTTATTGACTCAGCCTATATTTCAGGTTTATCTATCTCTGTTTATGGGCTGACAAGACTAGAAATTCTTTAATTTCAGGAACAAGATGCTTCCTTTCTTGTCCAAGGTCCAGTGTTGGGCTGTGTCCAGAGAAGCCTTTAGCAAAAGCACTGGTGGTGAGTTTCACCCTTACACCATTTAGGCTGTACATTTGGGAGTCACTGAGGGATGCCCAACATGTCTAAGAGGTGGTTATGTTACTACAGTTGACAGTTGCTACTCTGCTAAAGACTGGACTCAATCCTCCATGTTATTGCTCAGCCTAACTGCTTATTTAGCTGGAAACTGCTGGAAACCTGAACTTCAGCATCTAAGATCATGCTGACTTGTAAGAACTGCTACAAGGGGAAATGCATTTGTTTTAGATGGCTTGTAACAGCCTCTCCCTCTCACCCCCCCGCCTTTTTTACTTGTTTTGCATTTGTTGCTCCATATACTATGCTCATTGTGAGAAGCACGTTAGTAGGTGGGATCATCTGCCTTGTACTGTTAAGAAACAACATTGATAGCAATTTTAGAAAAACCTCATAATAAAGCAGGGAGCAGGGAATGAATGGTGTCCAGTGTTCCCTATGGGTACTGACCGCTGCTCTCTGCACCTGCAGAGGGGCTCTGAGGAGAGCAACAAGGATCGCTTCCCAAGTCGTCCTCTCAGTGGGACCAGGGAGAAGGGGAAGCGCTGTGATCTCCTTGAGACAGATCGTGGTGCTTTTCTAGTCACAGAAATAAGTTCTAAGGAACGTGCAGGTATGCACACCTATCAGGTACCTGAGCCTCCTGAATTGCTTAAAGGTCTTTGAGATAAAACTTGTATTTTTCCCCCGAGGAATTTTTCAAAGTGAGGTGTCTCCATTCTGTTCTTAAGCAACTTTTTATAAACACACGTTTATGTTTTTGCAGTCATTCATCCAAATTTCAATTTGCTACTTTCATCCCATGGTGTATGCAGATGGGAGGGAAAAAGACTTCCCAGGTGACCTCTCCTGAGATTCTCTATGAATATAGGATATTTTTATTGACAGCCACATAGCTGTGTTTTCCTTCACCTTTAATGGCACAAAACTCAGCAGCAGCAAGTTTAAATAACTCTAATGGTAGGAGTTCACAGGAATGAGTCATTCTGGTTATCTTCATAATAAACACTTAGGAAAAGTAGCTGCTTCCCCCCTTTAAAAATATCTCTCAGGATCATTCAGTTTACTCCCCCTCCCCCAATTTTGATATAAACATGGGTACAGAGAAATATTTCTCTTTTCTAAGATAGACAATAGGGTAAAAGGCATTGGCATTGGCAATGACACCCAGTCCCTGGGTGACAACAAGGAGTGACATGATTTAGGCATGAAGCAAGGCTGTTCTCACTAGTGGCCAGATAAATCCTGTGACAGACCCTCACCTACCGGTGGGTGGACTGGGGGTCTGTGATCTCTGGCTTATTGTTATGCTCTTCATTGAGCACATGTTGGATGCCTTCAGTCCTCAAAGTGCTTTACAGTCCTCATTCATTTCTCATAAGCCCACGCTTGTCCACAGTTGCAGAGGAGGTGCAAAAAGGCAGGCCATTGCCTAAGGTCACCCCATTGAAGGGAATGGAGTTGGGATTCAAGCCCTGCCCAACCCCCAAACCTGTGCTCACCACTGGCACACGACTTGGCAATCAGCCACAAAGATGGCACTTGTGGAAAGAGCTGGGTGGCTCTAGAAGCATACCTCCTGCTTCAGTTGTTCTGAGCCATGTGAAGATCATTAATCCCTTATCAATGCTGAATTAGATGAACTTTTTTTCAAGATTAGTCCATGCAATTACAGTAACACAGACTTCCTTTTCTCTCTCCAATACTTTTTGTAACAGGAGCACACCACAGCAGTTTTATGTGTTTCACGATAAGGACATACACACAGACACACACCAAAACAATCAATGCTCATGGACACGAACTCTTCCTGCACCCGCACTTTGTGAAATGTACTCTCACCATCCGGCACAAATGCCCCTTCCATCACCCAGCAATTCTGCCTCTACAGGTGCCGAGGATGTGGCTGCCACTTCATTTCCTCTCAGGTGGACCTTGCCCTTGGGATGAAAACACCTGAAGGGCTGATGCTCCTAAGACCAGGAGCAAGAAGAGGACAGCCTTTGCTGGGACTTGCTAGGTGTCTCCTTCCATCTCCACTTTGGGCCCCACTGGACAGAGATTAAAGTGAGATTCCTTTCTTCCTCTTCTGTCCTTCACAGATGGGAGTGGGAGCATGTGTGAGAGTGCTTCTCCTCAGGTCAGCACCTTTTTAGAAAGCATTTTCTTTTCCCCCTCTCCTCACAGTTCAGTCAAGCTCTTTGAATTTAAGTCTTGAGTCCCTGTCCACAGTTTCCCCTCCAATTAATATCCTTCAAAGCCTTTCAGACTTTGCTGACAACTTGACATTTGGGTCTTAAGAAAAGGTGCAAGTGAAATAAAAGGACAATTGGGACAGTAAAAGTGACCTTGAGAAACATATGTCCTTTCTTCAGCTTAACTTTCTCATATTGAAAAAATGGCTTTGCCCTAACCGGTTTGGCTCAGTGGATAGAGCGTCGGCCTGCAGACTGAAGGGTCCCAGGTTCGATTCTGGTCAAGGGCATGTACCTTGGTTACGGGCACATACCCAGTAGGGAGTGTGCAGGAGGCAGGTGATCGATGTTTCTCTCTCAGCGATGTTTCTGACTCTCCATCTCTCTCCCTTCCTCTCTGTAAAAAATCAATAAAAGATATTTTTCAAAATGGCTTTATCTGTGAATTAAATGTAGATTAGCAGCCGAAGTGCTCAACATAGAATAGAATCTGGCCCATGGTAAATGCTCATCATGATCATCATCAGCATCAATGCTCATAGCAAACTGCAGTGAATACAGTCTTAAATGCTAACTCACTTAATTCTCAACATATTGTGTTAGTTTCTATTATTCCTGTATTTCTGGGTAAGGATGTGAATCTGGGAAGTTAGTGACCTTCCCTCAGCCTCAGAGCCAGGAATCTAGCCCAAACCTGCTGCCCTCACAGACCCGGGTCTGCTCACTCACTGGGTGCTGACATGACACCTAAGTAACAGTGAGCAACACATCTCCCTCTGCAGTTGCCAATCAGACGCTGAGAATTATCTCCATGATGACAGTAGCTCTGGGAAGTAAGTCTTGTCATTCCCCCAGTCACCAGACAAGAAGCAGCTTGAGAAGGTTTAAGTGCTTGTCAGTATCACAGACTGTGTAACCAGTGCTCTCAGTCCTGTGAGCTTGGTCTGGTGTCTTGGTCACTAGATCAGACAGCACCCTTGTAGAGGACAGGAGCTCTGGGCACCCAGCTGGGAATGAGGACCAGTAAGATCATAAATATCAATCTAGTTAGTTGATTGGCTCAAAAATTAAATTTCAAACTGCTCTGTACATCAATATTGAGTCCATGCACAAACTGGCATATGGACCATAACAGGATTGTATGTACATTAAACTTCCTGAGTTGACAACTGTGCTCTGATTATGGAAGAGAATGACTGTGTTCTTAGGCCGTTCACAATGAAGTATTTTGAGATGAAGTCTCATGATGAGTCAACTTATTCTCAAATAGTTAGTCAAACTATGTAGAAAGATAAAGCAAATCTTAAAGCAAAGCAGGTGGTTGTAGGTGTATTTGGGCTAACAGTATATGATAACTCTTTCCTCACATAATCTGGGACCCATCGGGGGATGTTGG